TAGATTTTATTTATTTATTCTTCGGCAGAACCGAGGATTGAACTCAGGTGCTTGCAATTGACAGGCAAGCGTTTATTCTACTGAGCCATCTCTCTGGCCAAATATCAGAATTAAAGGACAAAGGGAAATATTTGCAAATCATTAGAAATAAACCAAACAAGAGAATACTTGTGGCATACAGAGTATAAAGATTATATATATAACAATCAATGAACATAAACCTAAAAAATGATTGCAATATATTTTACTCAAGAGAAAACACTGAATAGAAAACAAGGTTGAGTGAATCACTAGAGAAAATGGAAGTGTGGATGAACACCATAAGGAAATCAACTTCTTTAAGAAAAAGCTATATACACAATTTCTTCACTTCGGGATTTATCAAAACATACAGACCAGTGATTTTTATTCAATGTTCAGAGAAAACATTACGCAATTAATCACAGAGAGGTAATTATCTTCAAGTAAAATTAAGAAAACCTGAATCAGATAACAATTTTCTTCATGATTCACATATCAACACCTGTAAACAATAATTACACAAAGAGAAAACTGAAAACATTTCCCTGCAATGTCTATAGTACTTATTATAAATTCCAAAGAATACCATTCATAGTAAATCGCATGTGGTAAACTGAGGAAAAGTCACCAAATAGGAAGAGTGGTCACAAATGGCTCAAGAGAAATTTGAGTCAGGTAAAGTAGGTAGCACCTGGATACTCACATCCATTGCCCAAGGCCCAACGATGAAACTTTTTTACTATTCCCAGGATGCTTATATTATTATTATTACTATTAAATGTCACCCACAGTTTTGAAAATAAAATTTATTGTGAACTCTTGCCAACACTGAATTACCATAAAGAAGATACACATTGAAGGGAAATCCTCATATGTCTACCTGTACACTTCAGGAAGAAAGTTGGGTAAGCAGCAGTCTTGGCATACCTCTGCACATCCTCTTTGTACAGAAACCTTAAGCTGTGGCTTTGCTCCAGCTATTGCTGCTTGGTACCTCACAAATGAGGAACTATAGATAATTTCAAAATCAGGATACCCTCCACAAAGTTGTCACTTTTTCAAACGTAAATGAGAAAAGAGCTTTAACTTGTATCAGAGGAATCCCATTAAATTTTGGTAGCAATCCTGAGCTTATTGTTTTATCTTGATTTACATTTTTTTTGATAAAGGAGACCAACAATCGAAACATAAGGCTAAAACACAACACTTAGGTTAATTAGCCTGATTACAAACATATATAAAGATGACATTAAAAACAATAAAAGAATTGTTATAATCAGTTCCTATTTACCATTAATTTTTATAAAGCATGGTAAGACTAAAATTCAGGTTCTCCTGCAATTTAAATACACTCATCCTCAGGTGAAAAGCTTCAGCTGATGTTTACATTGTTCTGTTCCTAACAATAATATTGTCCTTTATTTCATCCTCACAATCGAAGGTATGTTGGAGTCACCTGTCTGGCTAAATCTTTTATATCACCTTACCTCTTCGTTCTTAATTTCAAACATAGATTTGGCCAAAAGTTCTCTCAACAGTAACTATGCCACGTTCCCAATAGTAGACTACACTGAAATTTTTCTTAATCCACCCAGGCAATGTCTTCAAACACAAGCAAAATGCAGAACAAATTTCTGCCAAATCACAATATGTTACCTGGGTCTAGAGCCCAATGCAGCTCTCAACAGAAGCCTCCTCAGTTTCATCTTAACTGGCAGCATTTCTGTCAGTACTTTAATTTTCCAGGCTCTAGTCAGAGTCTGCAGTATACTTTACAACATACAAGGGCCGTCTCTGTAAGCCAGTCTCTCAAAACATTTCCAAATTAATGACAAAGTTTTTAAAGTCATGTGGCCAGGCAATATCACAGTAGAAGCCCCATGTATGTGATACTAAATTCTGTCTCACTTTTCGTTTTTGCTGGGAGAAATACCCAACACCTAAAATGAAGGAAAGCTTTATTTAGCTCACAGTTACTGGAGGTTTCAGTCCATATTCAGCTGAATCCAAGGCAGAGTGGCACATGGTAGAAGGCAGCAGTTCATGGTGGCAGAAGGCAGCAAGAGCCAAAGGGAGGAGTAGCAGCAACAAGGGCTACAGAGGAAGTCTGTCTCTCTGTCTCTCTTATGTTACATTTAGACTATCTACCACAGCCTGGGTGAAGCACTCATACCCATAATCCCAGCAGTACTCAGACCCATAATCCCAGCCTTGGAACACTCATAATCCCAGTGGATCATGAGTAAATCACAGACACTAGAAGTCTGCCCCATGACTGCATAGGCTTTGGGGGGACACCTAGAGACAAACTATAAGAGTTACAAAACAAAAATTTCATGTGTGGTGTTAAAAAGCAAGACAAACAAAAAGTGTCATGAATATTAAAATGAAAGTGAATAAAATTTCTGTGCATGAAATGATAAGAAATCAAGATATAAAAACTGAGGAAAGTGATAGAGACACATATGTTGCCAAAGACAGGATTCACTGAAAAAATGTTCTCCTAGCTTTATTACTCATTAAAATTATAACAATATAATACGGCTACATTGCACCCAACCAGAATAGAAATTATCAATAGCTCTTACGCATTTTTACCTGAAGGTCAGCACATAAAAAACCTATGGAGAATTTTAAATGTTTACTAAAAAATTAGTTTGTAAAGGAAATGGAGAAATGAATGCCTAAAACTAGAGTTTTAAAACAGAGAACAATGAAAAGCAACTAAATTTCATTATGAATCTATGAAACTTGTTAAAGTAGAAAAAGTTCAGTGTTGATGGTGATAAGGATCAGACAGTATTGCCCACTAGTGGTGCTAGTGTGGATGGTGTATAATAAGATTTTATTTATTTTACATTTATTTTTATTTTTTTGTGGTACAAGGGATTGAACTTAGGACCTTGTGCTTGCCAGACAGGCACTGGGGAGCTATCTCCCCAGCTCCATAATAAGATTTTAAATGATATATTGTGTGCCCCAGCAAAGAGGCTACTGAGCATTCTTGGCATTCTCTCAAATCTTTCTTCCAGGGAAGAAAGTAGGAGAATGTTCTTTGTGGAATTTATAACAGTGACCCCACTAGAAAAGCCCGCTCTCCCGAAACTGGGTAAAGGCAAGTAAAATGCTATGGAGACAAACGGTGGAGCCCCATTCAGGAATTACACCTACATACCGCAGTGCAAATAAATCTAGAAAATAATATTGAAAGAATTAAGTAATGCACAGTATGAATAATGGGACACACTCCCATTTGGGCTCCAAAGTCTACGTGCATGAGGCTGGGTGCAGCTCAGCGGAAGAGCACATGTGCAGTGCTCACGGGTATCTAGGCTCTGTAGCCAGCATCAAAAACGTACATGAAGCCAAGGCGCACAATCTAGTGGGGACGAGAAGTGGCACAATATGGAAAGAAAATTCAGCTGCAACAGGTTTGTCAAGCACAGCAGTAACAATTTATGGTTCCAAGATTTCCTTCTAAGAAGGTCTGTCCTATTTGCTATGTGACATTGTTCAACATCCTTGAACTGCACTCCCAAGATGATACTTAGTATTCTCATGACTGATGTCATGATTACAAGAAAAAAGTTGAGACACATTCACATCTTTTTTCATGTGCAGCATTACTACTGTGTAGAAAAAACCCAACTTAGCAGATGCAGTAGACACATAAACTCCTGAATGACAGGGAAAAGACCCCAACAGCTCCCAAATTTCTAGCTCTGCATCACAAACCCAAGCTCAGTGAGTTTCTCCCAGGTGCTCTGTCTACCATTACACACTCTCTCCTTGTTCTTGCTACCAGGACATTTCAGACAGCGTAAGTGTGAACAGCTACCACTGCGTGACAGTGCATGACGACACCATGGGGAGATACAGACAGGTTAAATGGTGCTTTGATCGTAGGCCGGTGCTTTATCTCAGCTGTGTCACCAGCCATTCCTATGGCCATCTCTAGTATACCAAATGGAGGGTGTATCCTCAGAGTGTGGGCAAGCCAAGAGAGCTTAGAGACATTTCAGGAATTATACTCTCTTTTGGAACATATAACAAAGGCTCGTGACTTTTTGTTTCTTTCTTTCTTTCTTTTTTTTTTTTTTTGTATTTTAGGGAAGGGTCTATAGGTTGTTCAGGGTCTCACTACTAGATCAGACTTGTAGTGATATGCCAATTCACAGCCCCAAGCGCTGGGATTACAGGCCCATGCCACTGTGCCCAGTCTCAATTGCCATCTTGGTGTGCCATGGGGGAGAGGCCAGCATGGCAGGACTGGGAGTTGAACCCCTGGCCCCTGGGCCAGCTTGCAGGCACTTTAATCTACTGAGCTATTTCAATCCAGCCCTATTTTTCCAGAGAGATATAAATCACTGCAAAGGGGAAAGAGCCTTGCAAATAAATCATAGTAATGGAAGGTATGCTGCCAGCCCGTTCATGTTACAGAAATGAAAGTGGGATTATGTGACCAGGCCAACTGGCATAGCAAGGCAGAGGTTTACCAAAAGTCAAAACAGAAAGTTTCCCAAAATCAGCATAATTAGAGCTATGAACGGAAGTGTTCTCTCTTCAGCCAGGCACATGTTTGGTGGCTTGCATTCAGACTTCACAGGCCCATTTCTGATCACTGAAAATGTCTACCCTATTCCCTTTTTAAGTGATGCAAGCTAGACCGTATGAGCAGAGTGGGGCATATGATAATAACAACAACTGTAAACGAAGAACTCCCCCCACCAAATCCAGAGGTGGGTTTCCTTTTCCAAGTAACTCATGTTATTCTCTCAAATTCAGTTGCTTTGGAGAACCTGATTAATATAGCACTGAAAACAAGAAACAAGAGGATGAGTATCAGAAGACTTTAAGAAGATTTGAAGGTATGAATCTAGAGACCCCTCTTCAGTTAGAATGTCATGATCAACTCAAATGAAGCTGAAAATAAAATGTGTTGAGAATCTACAGAATTTAAACTGTCTCATTGCTATTTTTCTCAATAAAATTAATTTTAAAAAAGGAATATACCTAATTAAAAAACTATTTCTACATCTTGGATCCTTTAAACCTGCTCAACATGCTTGCTTGATGTGTTTGAGGAAATGCACATTAACACAGGAAAAATTTCATAATAAAATACTAAGTATCTCGTGGACATCACTGAACATAGTCCACTGTATATCACTGCTTGTTCCCCACTAGCGTCCTGCTGTTGACAGCAGTGAGCACCATCAAGTAGTGTACCTTATATCAGTTATATACAGATAGATAAAACAGAAAGCCAAAGCAAAATGTCCACTGAATAATTTCTACTTTTCAGCAGATTTTTTATAGGGTGGAGATAAATCCCAGAATTTACATATCATAACTATAGAAGGTCTAACTCAATTTTCCAGGCCAGCTGTTTAACATTTGCTGTCTCAGTCCCCTAAGTGGCTGAGAGTAAAGGCATGAACTACCATGCCTCACTGAAGTTTATTTTGCCCAAGCATTGAAATATTTGTAAATCGTGGTGTAGGGCTGGGGAGATGGCTCAGTGGTCTAAAGCACCTA